CACACACACACACACACACACACACACACACACACACACACACACACAGGGTTGTGGCCAGAGAAGCATGTCCAGCCTGTCTCAGCTCCAAGTCAGGGAGCTCTCCAGCCCCTCATGTGATGGGACCTCCTGTTTATTCAGAATGAGGGGCACAGGCTGCCAGGAGGCTAAGACCCTCACTGTCAGGGCAGGAAGGGTCCCAAGAGGCACTTCTTGTTCATGTGGGAGCTGGAAGCACAGAGAAGGACAGGGAGCTGCCTGGGGTCACACAGAAAGTCAGATGAAGCGCTGAATGGAAACAAGGCAGTCTGTCTATCGGCCCAGAAACCTTCCTGGAATCTTGACTACAGAGGTGGGCCCAGACATCCTCAGAAACCCAGCCCACCTCATTGTCTTCGTGGATCTCAATGCTCCCCTGGGCTGGGAACTTCTGTCTTCTCAAGGAAACCCGGTACAGTTCTCCTGTGGGGGGGAACAGAGGAGAGAGCTCAGCTGGCAGGAGGCATGGGCTTGCAGGTGAGCGGAATGATAGGTCCAGAGCTAGGGAGTCAGTCCCCTGCCTCTGAAATCAACACAACATGAAACCCTTTCTCTCCTAAAGAAAAGGAAGACCAGCAGGGTGAGGCCATCACAGCTGCTGGCCCTGAGGCCAGGAGGGGTGTCCTAGAGAGGAACTATCCTATTTTTCTTCACCAAGAACAACAACAATGTGAGTTTTGTCTGAGGGCTTCCATTCCCAGTAATGAAGAGAAATTTGGGCCAAGCATCCCGCTGAAAACAACTACAGTTGCTGGATTTTTTTTTAATGTTTTTTCAATATGTTTGAAGCTATCAGAGAGATAGCAAGGCCTTAAACTGTGGGACCCCTGTCCAGGGGAAGGTGAACCCTCAAAGAGGGAAGGCCAGCATTTGGGACCACACTCCTTATCACCCACCACCCATGAGCTCTGTGGTGAAGTGACCCGCTTCCAGAAATGCTCTCCTTGCTTCTCTCAGCTGCCTGGACTCCACTCCTCCACCTCCAGGAAGCGCTTCTTGGCACCCAGCCCTCCCTGAGCTCTCATTCCTCTAACACAGGGATCGGTAAACTACAGCCACGGACCAAATCTGGTGTGCCACCTGTTCTGTAGATCAAGTTTTATTGGAACATGGCCATGCCATTGGCTTACATATTGTCTGTGGCTGTTTATATTCCACAGAGACCTTCCAGCCCACAAAGCTTAAAATATTGACGATCTGGCCCTTTACAGAAAAGTTCGTGAGCCCCCAATCTAACACCTACATTCCTGAATGTCACTGCTTTGGACTCTCAGGTGCAGAGAGACCTCAAAGACACTGAACGGCCCCCTCCCTGCCCACCCAATGATGCTGCTCCCCTGAGAAACCCTTCCTTCCATCAAGCTGACATCGCCTCTTCTTTCTCCCCATGAGAAGGATGCTATTTTCTCTGTGTGGCTGACCCTCACAGCTAGCCTGTGAAGCACTCATTTGCCTTCAATGACAGGGAACTCAGCTACAGCCATACCACCCTGACCGCACCCGAGCTTGTCTGATCTCGAAAGCTAAGCAGGGTTGGGCCTGGGTAGTACTTGGATGGGAGACGGGAAACTCATCGCAGCAGCCAGTTCTAAGCCAAGATGGCCCTTTCCTTCTTCACACTCCTTCATCCCTGTGCCAGGAACCTGCTGCAACCTGCTAGGGGGTGCATTTGGGGAGAGTCCTTCAGGGGCTTTGTGGGCAGCCCTGCTGTAGATGTGGGTGGGGACCCTGGCCAACGTGTGTCTGTATCAACCTCTCCTCAGCCTCTACTGGCCCCAGGGCAGAGTGCATCTGCAAAGAATTCCAAATAAGAAGCTTTTCTCAGGAGGGAAGTGCAATTCTGAAATATTCTGTCCTCACAGACACAACCCTGGTGTAAGGGTAACTGCTTTATGAGCTTCGAGCTGTTGCCCACACAGACAGGAAATCACTTCCTAAGTGATGGAGGGCTTTGGTTTGGAGGAGGAAGAGGAAAAACGTGTTCTGAAGCCTGGCTCTGCCCAGCACTTCCTAACACTCCTTCCAGTGGCCCGACTCTTCTGCCTTATTTCTAACATCCTATAGACCTTGCCCTGGGCTTGGCTAAAAGAGACCTGTGCCCTGCCATTAGGACAGGATCAGCATAAAAGACAACAGTAGATGGCTCAGTTTTCCTGGTTACTTATGTCCCAGGCACTATATGCTGTACAGGTGTCATCTCATCTAGTCCCCACAAGTAACCTCTGAGTTTGGGTCCTCTTGGTATTAGCTCCATTTCACAGATGAGCAAACTGAGGCTCAGACAACCTCAGTCACTTGCCCACAGGCCACACCACTAAGAAGACCGAGGGGGCTGGCACGTGAACCCAGCTAAGAGTGCCCCACATTCAACAGAAAACGATGCTTGACAAACTGCTCCCCCATTCTTCTGACCTCCACAGCTTCCTGGCGAGGTAGACACAATAACCCCCACTCTGCAGGAAAAGAAACGGGAGCACAAATTGACAAGTGGTACCTTGAACACTGAGGTCCAGGTCTGCCGGGGGGGAACCATTCGCTAGCAGGAAAGAATGTCGGGGGGAAGCGGAGTGTGGCTTTGTGCGTGCGGCTTCGTGTGTGCTCCAGGGCAGGTAGACACAGAAACCAGGAGCAGGCAGGGCTGATGCCATGGGGAGGCCCCTGACTTCTGGGGCTGGGAGGGAGCCAGTGGAAGCCAGAGACTTTGGAGCCAGAACGCCTGAATTCAAATCGTGGCTCTTACCTGCTGTGTGACACGTGCCTCAGTTTCCTCATCTGGAATATGGGGATAATAATAGTAGCTACCTCTTAAAATGGTGATGAGGATAAATGAGTTCATATATATATATATGGCTTAGCATGGCTCATGGAACACAGTAAGCACTACGTAAGTGTTAGTTGTTATCACCCAGGGTGCATCAGAGGGCACAGAGCCAGGGCCACAGCTGACAAGATTGAGCTGGAGGCTGATAGGGACAACGCTGCCTCCACACTCTCCTGCCCTGTCCCCAAGTCCCTCTCTGAGCCCTGGCAGGCTCCCCAGCCTCGCTGGGCTGGGTGCCTGCTTGCCCCGAGGAGCCTGTGTGCAGTGTGATTACAGGATTAAATACTGTGATTGCCACAAATTACCATAGCAAGGCTATAAATAAGTCGCAAGAAGACATGAGGGTCCTGTCATCTCCTGGGCACCATGCCCTCCGTTAGGTGGGGGTTGCGTCCTGCACCCTCACTGATTACACAGGCTGAGGCGCACCCACACCCTTGATCTGCCGGTCGCCCACATGATGTTCTGGGCATCGAATCGGTGGACAAGTGCTATATCCTGGCTGCAAATGATGCTGAGACAGTTCCTGGCTCGGTGGGGTGGGAGGCTGGCAGGCTTGTCCTCAGCATCTCTCGCCCCCTCGCCAGCGAAGAGGGAGAGCCCGGCCTCTTGTGCTGTTTGGGGTGGACTTGCTTCCTTTCAATGCACAAAAGCCTAAGATGCTTTGTTCTGGGACAGGGAAGAGGGGAGACCTAGCCTGCCAGATGTAGATTCTGGCTCCTGGAGAGTAGACTGATAAGACCAGAGTTACCCCAGTTGAAGTTACCCCACTATCTCTGGTCTTAGAAAAGTGGAAAGGCAGCCTTGACACCCCCCTGCCTGTTCCTTGCCCATAAAGGCTCTGCTCTCCCAAGAACCAGGGATTCCCACCACAGTAACTGAGGCCACTGGCTGTGACTCACCCACAAGACGTAACCCTTTCACTCCTCCATGCCCTTGCTCGTCCTGAGCCCTCTGCCTGATAAGCTTTTCCTCCCTTTGCAGGTCGGCAAATTCCCACATGTCCTTCAAAACCCTGCTCAACTGTCACCACCTCTGGAAAGCCCTCTCAGACCCACTTCAGCAGAGATGGTTAACCCCCCAGCATGCTGAGCTGGGCCTGGCTTCTTGCTGTGAGGGTACTTGTCTACTTTCCCATTAGACGGTGGGCACCCTGAGAACAGGGTGTCAGGACTTAGCATGGCATCTTTATGAAAACTTATTACAAGTAAAGATCCAGGGTGTACACAGTCTGTGAGACAGCTCTACGTTGCCAAAACCCTGGAGAAATCGGGTTCAGGGGAGCATCATCCACTGGAAAGCACATTTCTTAAAAGTCCCCAAGGAAACCGTATGAGGAAACCTCTGGGAATCCTAGAACAGCCCGCCATGGGCTTTAAGGCTCCACATCTAGGGGCGTCCCCAGAGCCTCTGATGATAAGAACTGCTGGCATGGGTCCTGAGTGCTGGGGAGCCACATGTCAGGGGCCCATTTCCTGTTCGGCTCTGTCTGTATGGCCCTGTTCAGGCTGGGTGCCTGCCCTGCCCAGATGTGGAATGGCGGGAGCCCACAGCTGCTTTTGTGACAATGCTTTGTAATAAGCTTTGAGGCAGGCCAGCTACCGCAGTGCCTGCTCCCAGCACTCCTGCCAGTCCTGGCACCGGGTCCTGTGGCCCACCCAGCTCACCATGATTCCTCCTCCCAGCTGAAGAATGGAGGCTGTTTTTGCTTAATCACCACCTTGGAAAGGCACAAATCGTGATCATCCCTTCTAATTACTGACTGCTCTTGAGACAAAAGCCAAAGTCATCACCCATGCACCCGGTACTCTAAACAAGTCACCTGGCTTGGCTGAGGAGTCCAACTGTCTCCACCTCTCTTGCCACCAGCTGCTGGGACCCGTGAAGGGTGGCTGCTGGGATGCCATCTGGCTAAAGCTGACCACTCAGTTTCACCCTCCATCTTATCAGCCTCTGCAGTGGCCCCCGTCTCCAATAGTCACCCCTGGGATCAACTGAGCAGAGCTGGCCCAGCTTGAGACCGTGGGGCGTGTCCTGAGAAGCATCCACAAAAGTCCCTAGTCCTCTGTGATCATGTGGAAGAGCACGCACGAGCATAAGCACACACATTTTGTGGATGAACCCGGTGGCTTTGCGATCTTGCTCTGATGTGGGCTGCAGAAGATATACCTGGGAAGATCTGGGAAGATCTAGAGCCTCATTCAGCAAGCAGGGGGCTCAGAGCCCCCAGGTAAGACCACATGGGGAAAACACACACACACACACACACACACACACACACACACACACACACACACACACAGGAGGAGACAGGCCATGGAAAGAGTCATGTGATGCAAAATGAATGCCCTAGTCAGAGGGTGACCTTTGACGCCCTCTCCACACCACCACAGAATGAGGGAGGTGGCCTATATTCCCTCTTAAGACTCAGGCAGTCGGAGATTCCCTGAGTCCAGTCATGAGGAGTCAGTGCCCTGCGTGATTTCAAACCTCTGTGCCCAGCAGAATTCATCCCTAGGACCCTGATGGGAACTGCAGGCGTGACTGGAAAGTCACTTTGAAGGACTATGGAGAAAGGAAGATGAACCAGGAAACTGAAGGT